TATGATTTGAGGACATAACCCTTAAGCTTGGTTAAAATGGGCCAGACTGGAGTTTGAATTGAGCCCATCATCAACCTGAGCCCCACTTTCAAAAACGAGATAAGATAAGTAAATAAAAAGCGCAAGACCACTCATCGCTACAAATCCCATGCAAATATCCACTACAACTACAAACCATCCAATATCATCTGAAATGGGCAGCCTGCACTTTGCTGCAATCTCTGTCCCTTATAGAATCAATTACACGGCCAGCACTCCCGAAACCCTCAAAGCTTCTAACCACCTTGGCTTCCGGAAGGGAAGAATCAGAGCAGTTAGCACAGCCGCAGATACGAAATTCGATTCAGGGGCGCTCGAAGAAGAACCACCTGCAGTCAATCTTGCATTTGTTCATGTGAGTTCATGAAAGAACGAATTTTGACTTTGCAGCTCTTTAATATGTGTCACTGCATTGATCACCTGTTCAAATTGATGGAAATTGAGTTAATTTGTGGCTTTAGTCTGTCTTGCTCCCTGATGGAACCCCGGATGTACAATGTCGTCGAACATGTGGTGGGCAGAAACTTAGGGATATAATGCTGGATTCTAACATTGAATTGTATGGGCCACATGTAGGTTTCGTGACTCCAATGAATGATTATTAGATGCTTTAATTTGTGCTGGTCGGTTCTATGTTGATATGCTCTGATATGCAGGCTAGACCTCTGTTAAACTGTGCAGGAGGAGGAACTTGTGGGACTTGCCTGGTGGAGGTATTCTATCTCAGAAAGCTTGCTCTTTCATTGCTGATATGACTATCATTTTTAATACTCCAGTTGAATTTTTGGCGCATTATATTCTCAATGCAGTATCTAAATAAGCTAGATTAGTAATTCTTCAATTATGGACTACAGCAATTCATTTAATATCTCCATGATTTGAGATGTCAATTGAAGCTTTAACTCCATTGACAGGGACGGATTAGAAATTTTGGGAAGCTACTAAGGGATATGTAATATGTTGATATGTAATACATTCATCACTATCTGATGGGGGTCAGGCAGGCCTGCCCTTCTCCCTTTGTACTGTCCATCCTTGCAAATTGGTACCCTTAACATGTTTAAGACCTTGATTTTGGGACGAGATCAAAGGTTCAAACTTGCAAATATTCTGGGAAAAAGAAGTCTTTGAATTTCTCAAAGAATTCTTGGTTATATTAAGTTTTAACGGTATGAATTTTTTTCATTTTGATGGATAGGTTGTGCAAGGGAATGAGCTGCTGAACCCTCGTACGGACAAAGAGAAGGAAAAACTCAAGAAGGTAATAGAATAGGCAGTTACTTAGGATGTATCATTCATTACAAATGCTGAGTTGTGTCAGTGCATTAAAAGATAATTAACATTGAAGGCTTTTGGGACATTTGCAGAAACCAAAAAATTGGAGACTTGCCTGCCAAACAACAGTGGGAAAACCAGATTCTAGGGGGCTGGTTTGTATTAATCAATCTTACACCGTCATTTTCAATTTTCTACATTAGTTGATTTTGTAAAATATTTTATTGCAATAAGATGGATGAAATTATATGTGTTTTGTATGTGATGCAGGTTGTGATTCAACAATTGCCTGAGTGGAAAGCGCATGAATGGAAATACGAAAGATTACCTCCCACGGAGGATTCTCAAGTATCTTAACAACACATTTTTGCTTGTTACTTATTGTAAAAAATTTCTCTGAAATTACCACTTCTACCTCTAGGCCACCTACCACCGAGTCAAAAGCAAATCATTTATGATTTACGTTCTGATAAAAAATATATCCACAAATCAGCTTCAATACCACATCAGCACCATAAGCATTTACACGAGCTTAATCAAAATAATCCAACAATTTATTCGGCTTAGGAGGGAGGAAGAGGATTATATAAACAGAACTATACATGGATAAACTTCATTCACTAGAACCAATTGCCATGCCTGCAATCATTTCAGAGAATTGAACAAATGCGCCTGCGCCGCTCGTCAGCTAATTCATCTTTCAACGCCTCAATCTCCCTCCTTATTTCTACCAGTTCGGTTCCTAGCTTAGGAATTACATCAGTTGATAATGATTGTGCATTCTTTTCGGCCTGTTGCCGTGCAGCTTTCTCCTCTGCTAACTTTTGTTCATATTTAGCGGTAGCCTCTTTGAGCTTTGCTTCAATCTATGTGAATAACAAAACATACAATATATTTTCAAGCAAACTTATAGCATATAATTTGTTTTATGTTGACCAACAGCATATAAATAGTTCATAAAGTAAAACAGAACTCCCTCCAATACGTAAGGGACCTTTAGTAATGTTGATGTTTTTAATTTTTTTTCTTAATTCCTTTATTTTTGTTCTACTATTTATAAATGAGACCACGCATGCACACAAATGCAATAGAGAATCTCAGCTTTGCTCTGACAATGTCAATGTTATCCATATTATTCATCCAACAAAATTGACAAAAATAAAGAATAAACCTACCTGCAATTCAGTCGATCTGTCGTTGGCATCATACGGAAGTCCACCATTTTCCAACAAAACAGTGTTAACAAGAGAAAGAAGCTGTTGAAGTTGCGTGTCTTTCTGGGTTTGATCGTTCGTCTTGTTATTGAAAAGCACATATCGATTCTTACAAGAATTGAGCATTTTCTAGATAAACATTAGAAA